CCTACAAGATAACGGACCAACTGGCAATGCATTCTCAATGCTCATTTCCTCATTTCAATACATTTCTCTGTGTCCCTGACAAAGTGGTGCGAGAATTAATTCTGGTTTTGAGCCTGCCTTTTGCATAGAATTCCATTGGTCTGCAGCTCTGGATGCCTTCATTAGAAGGAATCTCCAGGGTGGAGGTTACTGTAAACCAAGGTTCAGGATCTGGACTCTAATTCTACTTTGGAAATGTGCATTCCTACACGATGCAGTGGACTCCTCTGAGACCCAATTTTCTGACCTTTAAAACAGATGATTTTTCCTTTTATAATTCCTCAGGTAATTAATTCAACAACTGCATTGATTTCCCTGGAGTAACTTCAAATATAGCTACATCCTTTCTTGGAGATATTCTCTCCAAAATGCAACTACTGGAGATTTGAGCTATCTTTATAAAGAGAGGAATATCATAAGTCTAGAGAGAGTAAATATTGTTGAGATTATTATTTTAACCAGTTCTATATTCAGCCCATTTTGTACAAGATGACAACAGACAGGATTTAACACTGCCATTTCTGAAGAGGGGAGGGTGTCCATGCTCCTACCCTGCTCCAACCCGGGTGCTGTTACCTGCCTTACACGCACTGGAGTCAGGCTTCATCCAGTCTTGAGCAACGCAGCTATCAAATAGGCAATATCTTCTTCTTCATTTGGTCATCCAGGAGATAAAATTGTATTTATTCCTTTTCAATACATATTGCTTAGAACTATGTTATAGTTCAACTGGAAATCATAACCTTTAATACCCATGAATGTGGTCTATCTGATAATAGGGTCCTTGCTGGTATAATTAGTTAACTTGTGATCATGCTGGAGCAAACTTGGGCAGTGAAATAGGGAACAACATATGAGGGCTGGAGTTCTGTTGTCACAGACCAGAAACTATCAGGACCTGGAAGAAGAACCTAGAACAGGTGCTGCCACCAGCCACCTCTGCCGTTGTGACTTCTGGCTCCAGAACTGGGAGACAATGACTTCTGTTTTTGTAAGATACCTGGTGTGTTATATCTAGTTATTGCAGTCCTAGCAAATGAATACAAGCTATAGGTTTGTGGTATGGAGGGATCCAGATGAATTTCTTCTATGATCCATTAAATGTCATGTACGAGGGTACTTTAGAAAGTTTGTGGAAACGTGCAATTAAAAATAAGTTCATTTAGATTCAAAAAATGTTGAACACCATGCATAATGTTTTCATAATTTGCATTTCCAGTGAGTTTTATGAAGACCCCCTTTAATCAGAATCACCACTGGCCTGTGATTTGTTTTACCTGTGCTGTGGTTTGGTTACTACACAGGAAAGTATATTTCTGTGTCAGTTACGAGGCATTTGGTTCCAAGTACCTGTGGCATTAGTGACAATGACATTCAGATCTCTGATAGGAGTACTATTTGATCTAGAGAAACATCTGTTCATTTACAAGGCTCAAAGAAGAGAACATAAATGAGAAACAATCCTGATAGAGGTGTGATAGAGGAATTAGAGTAAAGGTTAGGAGTTGGACTCTGGAGCCAGGCTGCCTGAGTTCAAGTCCTACTTCTCCATCACTAGATATATAATGGAACAACAAATAGAATTCTACAATTTTAAAATGAGAATTATAATAAATTTTGCTATAAAGTTTGTTGGGCAAATGAAATGAATCAGTATACGAAACCATCTTAGGAGATGCCTGGTACCAAGAAAGCACTCACTGAATGGTACTCAATTAGCACCCCCTGAAAATGATCTAGAAGCATATTAATGCTCAGATATTATTTATAGCTTGTAAATAGATCATTATCACTGAGAATAAATCAACATTTACTGTACACATTAATAACTGACTTTCTAGTGCACTTCTCAGCATGCATTTTAGTGTTATATATTTTGATAGCCAAGAAGAGCCAAGTAGGGATGATCTTAGGAAAGCAACCAAGTAAATCAGGGTTGCTCAGTGGCTGGGAAAAACTTTAGACCTAATGGCTGCTTCTGGAATTCATTTTTCTTATTATTTCCTTAAATGAGGATACTTTACAGCCAAACATTTTGTTGTGCCATACTATACTAATTGATATAATATGATTTTTTAAAAAACTAAGGCAAAGGAGACTGTTTTTCCCCCAATATGTGTGCTTAGCACCATTTTGAAACATAAATTGGTAGTAGACATATGTGTTTTATTTCTGGGCTGTCTACCCTACTCCATTGGCTGATGTGTCTGTGTTAGTGGCAATACCTTGCCAGTTTTGTTACCATATCTTTTTTTCTTTTCTTTTTCTTTTTTTTTTTTTTTTTGACAGGCAGAGTGGACAGTGAGAGAGAGAGAGAGACAGAGAGAAAGGTCTTCCTTTGCCGTTGGCCATTCCCCTATATAGATAATCCTGGTAACTCCTTAAAAAACTGCTAGAGCTGATTGATTAATTCAGGAAGATTGCAAGATAGAGAATGAACTTAGAAAAATCAGCAGCGCCACAGGCCTGTGCACTGCGACCGGTGCACCGCGCTGATCTGAAGCCAGGAGCCAGGTGCTTTTCCTAGTCTCCCATGCGGGTACAGGGCCCAAGCACTTGGGCCATCCTCCACTGCACTCCCTGGCCACAGCAGAGAGCTGGCCTGGAAGAGGGGCAACCGGGACAGAATCCGGAGCCCCAACTGGGACTAGAACCCGGTGTGCCGGCGCCACAGCCATGGATTAGCCTATTGAGCCATGGAGCCGGCCTGTTACCATATTTTTAATGTATTTGAAAGTATAGTAGATTGAAGCCCCCAACTTTACAGTTTCTAGTCAAGATTGTTTTGAATATTTGAAATATTTTGTATTTCCATATAAAGTTTAGGATCCTTCTTTCTATTTCTGACATTTTGAGGGGGATTACACTGAAGAATAGATCACTTTGTGGAGTATGGACATTTTAATAATGTTGACTCTTCAAATCCATGAGCATGGGATATCTCTTCATTTATTTGTGTCAGCTTGTTTCGTTCATCCAGTGCTTTATTTTTCAGTAGACAGATCTCTGATTTCTATGACTAAATTTACTCCTAAGTATTTTGTCATTTTGACACTTTTTAAAATGGTGATTTCTCAATTTCTTTTTCAGACAGAGCGTTTCTATTACAACATGCGCTGCTGATTTTTCTAAGTTCATTCTCTATCTTGCAATCTTCCTGAATTAATCAATCAGCTCTAGCAGTTTTTTAAGGAGTTACCAGGATTATCTATATAGGGGAATGGGTCTTTATAGAAGAATCAATTCAAAATGTCTTGACAACTTAATGTAAGAACTGAAACTATAAAACTATTAGAAGAAAACAGCAAAAGTTTCCATGACCATGGTCTGGGCAGAGATTTCTTATAGATGACTCCCAAATTACAGGCAATGAAAACAAAAATAAAGGAGACTGCTTTTACCTAAGCAGCTTCTACCCGGCATAGGAAATCATTAACAGAATGAAAAGACAGCCCATGATTTGGGACCAAATCTTTACAAATCAAATATTAGATAAACCACTCATATCCAAACTATACAAATAATTCAAACTATTGAGTATCAAGGAAACAAATAATCATACATTAAAATAGTCAAAGTATTGGAATAGGCATTTCTCAAAAGAAGAGATACAAATGACTAATAGAGATCTGAAAAAAAATTTAATGTCACTTATCTTGAGAGAAATGCGAATTAAAACCTCAATGGGCTATCACCATACACCTGTTAAATTGGCTATTTAAAAAAATATGAAGGATAAAAATGTTGGGTGTGAAGGAAAAGGAACCTTCATACACTGTTGATAGTGCTATAAATTGATACAGGCACCTTACAAAACAGTATGGAGGTTCCTCCAAAAACTAAAAGTAGAATCACCATCAGCTCTGTCAATCCCAGTACTGGATTTACTACACCCAAAAGAACTGAAATCAGTGTTCTGTAGAGATGTCTGCAATCCCATGGACATTGCAACCTCATTCACAATAGTCAAGCTGTAGAAACAATCTAAGTGTCCGTCAGGGGACAGACAGATTTTAAAAGCAGAATCTTGTATAGACTGTAGAGACCTTAAAATCAAGTAAACACTGTCGTTTTTAACAAGATGGATGAACCTACAAAACATCATGTTCAGTAAAATAAGCCATGCACGCAGTGAAAAATCTGGATGCTGCATGAGCTCACTTACATGTTTAAGCTGTAAGTCAAGCTCGTAGAAGTAGAGTAGAATTTTGGCTATCAGAAGCTGTGTGAGGCTGGAAAAGGGGAGATGCTGGTCAGTGGGTACAAAATTATCTTTAGGAGGAGTAAATTCTGGTGTTCTCCTGCACGGTAAGATGACTGGGGTTCATGCTATGGTTAATGATGGTGGAGGGCATGATTCAAGATGGCTACAAGAGAGGAATTCAAATGTTCTTATCACAAAGAAATGATCAAGAGGTGATGCATATGCTAATTACCGTGTGTTGTTTCACAAGGTTTATATATATAAATATATATATATATACACACACATACATGAACATCACATTATACCCTATACATAAATATAATTATTATTTGTTAATTCAAAATTATAAAAACACAAATTTTACTTGGACATACAGAAGAGAAAATTGATTTTCTAAAAGTTTCTGATGAAGTCTTTACTTGTATATTTCTGAGTTGAGATATGTTGCCAATCCGTCATCTTTCTAGTTTTGGCAGTAAGTGAAAAATAGCCAGAATTTTCCCACATTTCTGGATACCTCAGAGCAAGTTCTTGGTTCACACAAAACAACTACCATTGGAAAACATAACTTGCTTCTTGTGTGTCTGGCTTTATTTTGAAGAAAGACATTTTTCATGTCTGGCCTTACAGAAGAGAAGGAAGCATTTTAGCAAAACACCTTCTATTAGTTTACTTGGAGGAAACAGAAACAGTTGAGACTTCAAAAACAAATTATAGCCTCACATTTATTCAATTTCACACAGCTTCAACTTACCCAGGAAGTATATATCTGGAAGACAGATTGTCTCAGTGCTGTGGATAAGTTATAGTCTTCAGAACTGTGATGTGCTTGGTGTCCAGCCCACATAATATTAACCTCTGCAAAACACATAATTTGAAATGAGCCATGAGAAGAAGAACAAAGCGACTTCCATTTCCAGTTATGTCTGCTGCTGTGTTGAGTGTGGAAGAAAAGTCTGGAACATCTCTGAAAAAGCTAGCTAATACAATTATGATTAAAATAAGCCACCTCAAATCATTTTTGGAACAGGGAGTGTATAGATTATAAATAAATTAAAAACTGGAACACAGTAAATATGTTGAGTGTACATGATAATAAGCAAACACCTCATGTGAGCTGAAATGATTTCCAAAATTTACACTTTGTCAACATAAAACACTATGATAGATCATAAAAGCTAACCAAGAAAGTTGTAACAATGGATAGCAATGATTTTCCAGTATATAGCATACTTCTAATTAAAGAAGAATTTTATGATGGGAGAAATTGGTAAATAATTTTGGAGTGAGATAATATATGATATTATTTCCTGGTGACTTTTTGAGAAGTCTCAAAAACTGTATATAGAAACAAGAAGCAACACATAATAACACTGGATCCTAAGATTTAACGTTTCATCTTTGTTTATCAAAATACATTAGCTCTGGGGCTGGCATTGTGGCGCAGCGGGTTAAATCCCTGGCCTGAGGTGCCAGCATCCTATATGGGCGCCGATTCTAGTCCCGGCTGCTCCTCTTCCGATCCAGCTCTCTGCTATGGCCTGGGATAGCAGTAGAAGATGGTCCAGGTCCTTGGGCCCCTGCACCTACGTGGGAGACCCAGAAGAAGCTCCTGGTTTCGGATTGGCACAGCTTCAGCTGTTGCGGCCATCTGGGGAGTGAACCAGCAGATGGAAGACCTCTCTGTCTCTACCTCTCTCTGTAACTCTTTCAAATAAATAAAATAAATACTTAAAAAAACTACACTAGCTCATAGTTATCTATGATCCTTCCCAAACCTTACCGAAATACTATACCATTTCTACAGCTTGCCCACATAATTGCTCTGTGTCTTCCTAATGAAGAAAGATGAGCGTTGCTTATTTTCATCAAGCATTGCAGACAGCCTTCATGCTGCCTTGCAAATCATATGTACCCAGCAAAACTGATTATTTTTCCCACGATAACCATGACAATATAATCGCCACCTACACAGACAGAACAGAAGCGGATAAGTCATTCCTTATTCTGCCCACAGTTTTCATTCTATTGAAATGTTTCATTTCCCAACAGCATTACAGATCAAAATGCCATTATGTTCTATTCAGTTTGAAAATATATATGTCCTTACTTAAACTAACTGACATTTAAATGTTACTACATATCAAAAAGTGAATTCATCATGTGATATGATCAAAGTATTCTTGACAGTAAATATGAAAATGAAATCTTTTGAGCTTGAGTGATTGGGACTGGAGCAGCAGGTATAATCTTGGAAATATTAGGGCATTGGTCTCTGTAATTGCCATGCGCTGATAGGCAAAATGTCAGAAGAGTAACATGTATGGCGCAGAACAGAGTGTGTTGCTGGAGATTATTATGAAGATCATGTACACGTATTCATAAATTCAATATCGGTGGGATTTTGGATCTTTCATTTAGGAAGTCAAAACTCTCTGGACAATCTGTGTAGACAGTTTACTAAGCCAAGTTGGCAAAAACAGAAGGATCTTGGGAAACAAAGGATGACTCATCGATACAAGAAGGACCAAATTCTGTGAGCATGAGGAAACTGAACAGGATTAGAAATAAACAGCCCTGTCACATTTCATCTCTATCAAAATCATGTATCTTCAGGTGGGGAAAGCATCTTCATTAACCATCAGCAAATTTGTGAGCTTTGGTCCTAGCTGTTTAATGTTTTAAGCAACTTAATCATTCCTAAAAATTGCACTGCCTTTAGGAAGTTTAGAAAAATGCCCTTACGTAAATGAGAACTAGGACATGACAATGAACTCTAGACGCACCCAGGTCTAATCTTTGAAATAACCTAGATCCTAAATCTTTGACTTCCAGATTTGCCTCTGTGGCCGTGAATAACAGACATGCACAGGCTCTTGTGGTGCTTTGCATCCCCAGGTATTCTGTGAGAGGTTTTTTTTTTTTTTTTTTTTTTTTTTTTTTTTTTTTTTTTTGACAGGCAGAGTGGACAGTGAGAGAGAGAGACAGAGAGAAAGGTCTTCCTTTGCCGTTGGTTCACCCTCCAATGGCCGTCGCGGCCAGCGCACCGCGCTGATCCGATGGCAGGAGCCAGGTACTTCTCCTGGTCTCCCACGGGGTGCAGGGCCCAAGCACTTGGGCCATCCTCCACTGCACTCCCTGGCCACAGCAGAGAGCTGGCCTGGAAGAGCGGCAACTGGGACAGAATCCGGTGCCCCGACTGGGACTAGAACCCGGTGTGCCGGCGCCGCAAGGTGGAGGATTAGCCCAGTGAGCCGCGGCGCCAGCCGAGAGTTGTTTTTTAAGCCATAAACCAATTTCATTAATCTCCTAATTTTTTTCAACTGCTTGTAGATTGAGCCCCTACCATTTTCTCCATAGGACACACCCATGACTAACCATTTCCGAACCTGTGGTTTCAATACCTTTGTTGCAAATCAAAATGGTGTCTAGTTTTTTGGGGTCCTTTCAGGATTTGTTTTCTAAAACTGTTACAAATGCACGCACCCACTGAGCTTAGAATGGGACGAGCTGTTCAGATGTGGTTTAATTAGAGGATAATAGGACATATTAGGGTTACTTCCTTTTACCCTCCACAGAAGCTCCTGGAGGAACAAAGGTGGAGGTTAAAGACCTGTCTCTCTAGTTGTTTTAAGAGCATTGACTTCCTATCACAAACTGTGTGTAACACAAGCCTTCCTGCAATGAAGCACAGCTGTATAAACAGGGGAGAGAAACTGGATCCTACTGCCTTACCTCTGTCACTTTCCAGAATTGGGAAAAACAAAAAAGGAATATGGGATTTTCCCCACAGTCTATATTCTGCTTATTGGAAGCAAATGATTTTCTAAGAAGCATTTTTTTTTGAAAATTGCTCCAATAGCTCTTTTGTGAACTAAATGAGAAAAAGTTAACAATTTATTTGTTCATCTTCACTTATTCTTGAACTCCTTGAATCAAAACATTTGTTCTAAAGAGTGAAAACAAACAGTAAGGAAGAAAAAGGAAAGATACTATTCAGAATAAACTTCTTTTCTTGAAAGACAATATAATTATAGATTTCCTCCAGTCATACTATTTTTATTTTCCTATAAAAAATTGCAGATTATATATGCAAATAAGTTATTACAGCTTTTCCATAATCTAATTAGAGACAATTATACTACATTCCTGAGCTAAAAAGTTAGATTTGTACAAATTTATTTTATTAATACACTGCTGGCCTGTAACTCCACTCATTTGCCCCAATGTAATGTAATATTTATATGTGTGTTATATTCTTTAATTTGTTAACTGTTTTCAATGAAGGTATAAGTCACATACAGTAAAATCCACCCTCCTAAGTGGATTTTTCAGCTCTGTAAGTTTCCAGCAAACAAGTAAAGCTGTACAATCAGCACCACCCCAAGACACAGAAGACTCTGCTCACCCCAAAAGTTCCCCATCCCTGCCCCCAACCCCCACCTTTGTGGCTGTGTCCGGAAGGCTCTTTCAGGGCTCATGGACCAGATGGTGAGATTCTGAACTTTGAACTGAAAATGCAATGGGATGGAACTTCAGGAGCCTTGGGAGAGGTGAGTGTCTTCTGAGTGTAGAGAAATATGAGCCCCTGGGGTCTGGAGGGCTAGCTGGGGGCAGCAGCCTCTGTGAGACGGCCGCCGGCCAAGCTTGTCCACTGACATCTATGCCTTTTATGATGCCCTCCCTTTGAGCGTGAGCTGGATTTAGTGGCTCCCTTCATGGAAGCAGAATCTGGGGAAAGGCTATGGGCTGTCACTTCTGATATTAGGTTATAAAGACAGTAGCTTGTGCCTTAGGAGCTCTGTCTCATGTTTTTCCAGGCTCTGCCTGAGGACATCAGCTGCCAAGTTGCAGGCTGCTCTCTGGAGAGCAGTGTGGTGGGGCATTGGGAGAAGATTCTGGTCAACCAGCCAGTCTGAAATGAAGCATCCCTGTTCAAGCCCAAAAGAAACGGAATCCTGCCACCAATCACATTAAGTGAGCCTAGAAGGAGCTTTACCCCAGCTGAGCCTTCAGATAACACTGCAACCTTTAAACAGCTGAACTATTTAATTGTGTCATTGTGAAAGACCTTGAGCCAGAAGCATTCAGCTAAGCTGTGCCCTGATTTCTGATCCACAGAAACCAAGACAACATAAAGAGTCCTTGCTTTAAGCTGCTTATTTGCTAACAAAGGAGCAGAGGATTAACACAGTGGTTAATTCCAGACTCCTCCATTCTCAGTCCCACCATTCATTGGTTGGTTTTCTTTCCTTACAGTTCTGCCTTTTGGAGAACATCATATAAATGCAATCACATGGCACTTAGCTTTTGCAGTGGCTTCTTGCATTTAGCATGTTGCATTAGAGACTTCTCCATTTTGATGCCTTTTAATTGCTGAATCATAGTCCATTGATATGAGCATACCATGGCTTTATTTTTATCTATTCACCATTCAAAATAAATTTCAGTTGTTTCCATTTTTCAATAATTGTAAACAGAAACTTCTATTAACATTATCATTGAGGTTTTCTGTGACTCTAAGGTTTTGTTTCACTTGGTAAACACTAGTTCTTTTTCAGAATTACTGAGTTGTATAGTATGTTTACATTTAACTTGTGAAGAAACTGTCAAATTATTTCTCAAAACGATCATGCATTTTTGGGTTAGCACCTGCAGTGTGTGAGAGTTTAAGTTCCTCTATGTCTCTGGCAGCACTTGATAGCATGGATTTTATTATTTATTTAATTGCTAGTCACTATAATATGCTTGTAGTCTCATTACATTGGAAATTTAACTTTAGAAATTTTTAAACTTATTCGAGAGGCAGAGAGTTTCATAGCAAGGCAGAAAGACATACAAGGGGAGAACTTCCGTCT